TACACTTTTCTTACTGAATTCTCAGAACAATCTTGTAAGCCAAGGCAAGAAGTACTTTCACTATTTCATACAAAAGAGCCCACGGGTCCCACAAGAGGGTCGGTAGAGGCAGCCTCTAACCCACTTCTTCTGGTTCCAGACAGGTCAGAGTGTGTGTTTCTCCTGTCCTGACACATGACCTTCTCTCTAAGAAAACAGATTTTGCTTGAAATTCTTTTCCTAAAGGGCAGCTTATTGTTTATGCCAGAAATGTGCCTGTCTTCATTTACAGTGTGGTAATACTAGTTTTTGTGGTATTTATCCAGGTAATGCAGGACTAAAAATGATAAATTTAATTTTAAAAACCCTTGTATTTGTTTACTTTATAGATGAAATACATTTTCATATGGAATATCTAAGAAACAGTGTTATGTATAACATATATGATAATTGTCTATTTTAGTACTTTGTCCAAAGTTTATCCCCATGTTAGATATTTACTATATAACATAATTCTATAGTATATTTAATAACTCTATAGTTTCATAATGTATAGGAAATTCGTTTTATACTTTCTAGATTTCCCTTACTAGAAAGTTGATTTTCTAAACTCAGACAGCTTACGACTAGGAAATCTCACAGCTCTTTAAAGCTGCAGCTGCATTCTCCCAGCTGTCAGACTGCGGCACAAGCTGCCATTTCATAATAACTTTCTAAAAGTAAAGTACATCCAAATATGTCACCATAAATAGAGAATTTTGAGGTTGAACTTTGATTTCCCCCCCATTTGGGGGGAAATATTTAGACCTTTATTTCATTCAAAATAAAGATGTTTAAAACAACAACAACAAATTAAAGGACTCCCCCCCCAAAAAAAAATATAAATGGAATTACAGACCCAATTTAGATTTTTTTTTTTTTTTTTAGGAGAGAAAATGTTCAGACCAGAGTCATAGAGAACTAGTGCTAAAGTGACCCTGCTACCATCAAGTGCCACCTCTATTTTAATAGGCAAGGAAGGACTCAGGTACCTGAGGGCTCTGCAGCTGCGTGGAATGTGCACAGCAGAGTGCAAGGCCAGGACTGGCATCCTGTGATCCCAGGAATCCCTGGCCATAGTAGATGCTGACATTTTCTGAGAGCTTTGGGGCACCAGGCCTGGCTGTTAGTGTGTTTCTGAGCTCACATCCACCTTGTTGACTCTCCCTACTTTGCACTTGAGGAAACAATAGATTTGATTCATATAGCTTCTACAGTTAGGATGGAAGGTACAAGTCCCTCTTTTCCAGCTAACTTCTGTTGATCCTTATTTTTCATCAACCTGCTTAAAAGATTATGGCAATATTCTGTAGCCTTTAAAAATCAGAAGACTTCTCCCGAGGGATTACTGCGGCCATTTAACTAGATATCACTTTAACTCTCACTTGGCTTCTAACTTTGAACTTTACTCCCTTTCAGCCCCTTCTCAATGCTACCAATTAGAGTAGAACTAGTTTCAAAAATGTACGCTGAATCCTGTCACTTTGCAGCTATGACAATATACAGCTGATGCCAGTGTTACTCAAGCCTCAGGGCCAACTTCCCATGGGTCTGCAGGGCAGGGCACATCCATTGGTGTGTGATGGCAGCTATGCCTGCTACACAGGAGGGAGAGTGCTCAGGGCCAGTGGGGACAGGCAGATGACATGGATAGCTCTAGAACAGGAATCAAAAGATCCACTGGACACTGTTCATGTGGACTGCTGATCAGGGAGATATACACAGCACAGCCACGAGTCATAAAATGCCTCTGCAAGGCTGCGCGGAAATATCGAGGCTTTAGGCAGGACTCTGGCAGGAGAAGGGGCAGAGGGTCACCCCCAGGAGAGCCCTTTTTTAAAAATATTTTTATTAGTTGTTGATGATTTTTTAAAACTTATTTATATGGTGAGAATCGAACCTAGGAAGTCACACATGCTAGGCAAGCGCTCTACTGCTAAGCCACAACCTCAGCCCCCCTCTTCTGCCCTTTCCCTCCGCCCTCCCCCACCCCAGGAGAGCCCTTTTAACCCTCTGGTTACACAGGTGCTGGACCATGTGAATCCCATGTGTTTAAGTATAAAACAGATGTAAAAATAAGAACTGGTTTGTTTATTCTGACTGGAAACTACATGTGAACATGTGGGGTGCTGGAGTTTAGAGGTTTTCTTGGTCGTTTATGAAGCAGAATGTTGGCATTGTCCTGTCTAGTATGCAGAACACTTTCATGGGTTGGATCAGTTGATCCTTACAGGAACTTCATCTCCATTTCAAGATAGAGGAAACTGAGGCTTGGAAAAATTATCATTTGCCCAAGGTCACACAGCAGTGGGGTTCAATCTGCATTGCAAGATGTCTGTTTACACATCCGCCTCCTCTGTTCTGAGCTGGAGGCACAGAACTGTAACCCAGGCCTTCTGGCAGTCCGTTGTGTCAGATGGCAATAGTTGAGACAGAAGCAGGGAAGTTGTCACCTTCCCCTTCTGAGGTCTTGGGGGTTCCAGGGAAAGGGGCAACTCTTTTGGAAAATAGACAACAAGATTTTAAGAAGCTCCTGTAAGTGGAGCTGTTGAAAATACATGGAGAGAAAATTAACTCCTAGTTTTAATTTCTGTTTGAAGAGGTGAATTCCACACCTCATAGAACTTGTCCATAAGTTACAGAATTTGATGCTATGGTACTTTCTCTATGTTGCAGTACTAGGGATCAACCAGGGCTTCTCACCTGCTGGGCAAATGCTCCACCATAAAGCTATACCCTGGGCACTGCATTTAAATTAGCTTTCAGATTCCACTTCCTTTTAAAGTCTTTTCACAAACTTGATTTTTCTGCAAAATGTCTTTGATCATTGGGATAGTTCCCATGGAATTCTCATGTGATGTGTGTTTTTAAGTACTGAACAATAGTCTAAAATAAAGAAGTAGCTTGCCCAGGTGAGAATTCTTAGAACTCACTTGAACAAACCATAAGCCTGCAGGAAAGGTCCCAGAAGCAGCAGCCACTGACGGCTCTAGGGTTATCATCAGAGCTCCGAGGCCTTTCATGGACACCTGTATGGTAGAGGTGAAATGGAATGCTAAGTGGACCTGGGTTGTGTGCTTTGCTAATGAAGAGGAAAGCAGTCGGGGAGAGAACTCAGACACGGTCTGTGTGGAATTGGATTTTTTTTTTTTTTAATTCAACAAGGCTGTATCTGAAACTCTAGAGAATTTTATAGTAAAGCTTAGATAAATATTTCATGTAACATCTTAAGAAGCAATCACTTATAGTAATTTTAGTCCTCTGATTTCTGTTTGTTTTCAGATTTGAAAAAGCAAACATTTTCTATGATGATTTATATCTAGGAGCTGCCAATTGAGCCCAATTTCAGAAGACTTATCTTTATAAATAAATTAAATAGGATAATAAAGACTAGCTCTACCTACTTTTATATCTCTTTAGGTAGAAGCAATGTTAAAAGTATCTCCCTCTCTTTTTTTCTCAGTGAAATGTCAACCATAGCCTTTGTAAACATAAAGTACCATTTACCCTCCCAGGTTTCAGCTGCCCTTAGATGGAGGTCTTGTCTCACCCAGCACCTCTGCAACTGATTTTCTTTGGAAACTGCGGCCCTGGTTCTCCTCTGGAGCAGGCACCAACCTGCCTTGCCCCAGTTAGAGCCTTCCCTTGCCAACGTGGGCACAGTGACCAGCACCAACACTTGGTTCTGGGAGCTGTTTCTCACACTGCCCTTTGTTGGTTTGCTCCTTTGATTATACAAGCTTTTCTTAGAAATATGCCTTGACTCAAGGGCTCTCCGTCCAGACAGCCCATGCTGCTTACTAGCATTCATCCCAGCTGCTAGCACATGGACACACCTGACATTGTAGTTCTGCATCATTTAAAGATTCATCTTCTTTATCCATTTAAAGCACCACACTAACCCCTACTGTGTTGTGCTGAGCACTCTCTTGTGTGCCTAAAGAATTAAACCTTTATTCGTTTAAAAAAAAAAAAAAAGATTTGTTTTTGATGCTTTGTGCCACACTCCTGTGAGACATACAATGCAGCAGTAAGTCCAGACACGATCCTTGCCATCACGGAGCTTATGTTTTAGTGGTGGAAAATAGAGGAAAAGCGAGCCAAAAATAATAGCAGTAATGCTTAGAGACTGCAAAAAGTGCTGTGAATATAGGTAAGTGTGAAATAGGCTGAGAGACGGCAGGATGTGGGGCAGGGAGAGCCGCCTGGAGAACCAGGAGGGTCCAGTAACGTGTAAAGGATCGGAAAGACTTTTGTTGAGTGGGAGAGTCGGGTGTTATCTTCTTGGAACTTCCAGAAGGCCAGCAGACATGAGGGTAGCAGAAGAGAAAGCTATAGGAAAAGGGGGTGAAGTAAGGCAACTGCCGGGCCATGAAGGATCTGTGACAGGGTCAGGTGTTTGAATGTGAGTCCCAGCAACAGTGGGGAGCCTTGGGGGGCTTTATGCAGTTCACCTGCAAAGGGAGTGTGAGAGTCAGCTCCTGGAAGGGCTTCCAGTGGGTCAGGAGTCCAGTTGAACAGCACTTGTCCTGGGAGCTCAGCTCTGTGCAGGGGACGCTGGGGGCAGGGGGCGTGAGACTGTGCTGTAAGCAGAGATGCTGAGGAGCTGGACACAACATGTGCACCTGGCAAGGGTGCAGGCTTCTCAGCTCTGCCTGGTACCTTTCTTTCATGCAGGCCTTACCTGTAAGAGCTGTTACGGTGACTTGCCTTTCTTGCTCTTTTCCTCTCTCCAGGTCAAGTTCACCATCTTCAGAGTTCCTGGGAACTCTCTCATGAGAATTCTGGATTAGAACCAGGATGTCCCCATGGCACCCTCCCAGATCCCTCACCTGGGTTTGAGATGTCTTTGGATATTTCTTAGGAGAATCTCAGTACCAGCCCTCTCCCCATGGACCCTCTGCACAATCCCATGTCCGTTTCTGTGCCTGCAGAGATTATGAAGCACCTGCATTTATGTGTTCCATCTGTTTTCCACATAGGTTTTATGGCAGGCACACAAAGAAACCCTCAGATGTCTCAGTACGGACCTCAGCAGACAGGACCGTCCATGTCGCCTCATCCTTCTCCTGGGGGCCAGGTGCACCCTGGAATCAGTAGCTTTCAGCAGAGCAACTCGAGTGGGACTTACGGCCCGCAGATGAGCCAGTATGGACCCCAAGGTAAACGTGGCGCAGTGAGTGGTGCGAGTTTCTCAATACACTAGTCCTTCTGGGTCTTAATGCTTTAAGTGTGCTTTAAGATTCCCTTGGTGGAGCTGTGGCTGTGGCTCAGGGATAGAGTGCTTGCCTAGCATGTGTGAGGCACTGGGTTCCATCCTCAGCACCACATAAGAATGAATAAAATAAAGGTATTGTGTTCATCAAAACTAAAAATAAAAATTAAATTAAAAAAAGATTCTCTGGTCCCTGACACAGGCTGTGAGGTTAATGCAGACCTACAGTCCTTGAGCTGCCTGTTCATAATGCTGGGAAGAACCACAGCCCCTGTTCCTTAATTAAGTGCTAAGTGTGCCTTGTGTTAACAGTTACTAATGGGGGAGCAAACCTGTCTCTTCAGTGCCATTCCAGTGCTCATGGAGAAAGGACACAAGCCTTAGCTTAGAAGGTTCTGATTTATTAGGGCTCATCTTGTGGGACTCGAATTTTGCACCTTTCTCTCAGTAATCCCCTTCAGGACCTCAGACTCTTGACTCAGAAGGGTGTCCCTGCTCATGGCCCACCAGCCTGTCTTTGGGGTGCTGAGCAGTGGGGGCATTTCTCACTTCCCCGACCATCACCATCGACTCCTGGAAGACAGCACGAGCCTGACACAGGTGCATATCCTCCAACAGGAAGAAAAGGGGAGCATGGAAGGATAAGTGGAAGCTGCCCCAGATGCACCCCCCAGGATCGCCTTCCTAGAGCTCATGCAGGTTTTATCAGATATGCGAGTCCTTTCATCAAGGTTTAGCCTCATCTGGATGTGTGTGTATATTTTTGAAAGTCACTATGGGCAGTAGGACATTTGAATTTAGCACATTCTTTATATTTTGTTTACTTAGACATTAATGGATAATTTAGAGAACAGGATAATCTAGCACAATTCCTAGAGTTTCCTCATCTCTGAAAATCTCAGGAACACTCCAAGGGAAGATGAGAGCGTCGGGCAGCCCATCCCTCCACAGCCCCTCCAGTCCTGCGTGGGACGAGCCTCTTGGAGAGCCATGTGTCTTTAGTTGGGCCACATCCAGGGGGGATCCCAGAGGCCCAGGCGCCTCACAGACAGCCTCCTCGTCCTGTTTTATGGTAGTTACAGTTTGGGAAGGGAGTAGCACTGCCAGTGTGGCCCTGCATCTTGCCTTGTACTGCTGTGTTCTGTTTCCTTTGCAGTTGTTTCTGTTCTAGGAAACTACAACAAAACCCAAAGCATGAGTCTTCTTGCCTTGGCATGTGTGCACCTGCACAGAGCATGGACTCTGTTTTGCGTGCTTCCCTTCATGCCACGTCATACAGGTTTTCCAGGTTATTAACGCAGCAAGCCTTAGGATGCTCTTCCTGGCTGACAGTAATAGTCTGCCTGTCCCTGTCAGCACAGGTCATCATGACCTGAAGGGCTTGAGGCAGGACTGGTGAGTGACTTATTCTGGGAGCTGCCCTTACTGTTTCTGTAGCTGTCAAGGAAAGAAGAAAACTGTAGACAGTTGGAAAGCAATTTACAAATTATGGTGGGCCTGGAAAATGTGGACTTTTTCTCAGAATATGCCTGGAGACAAGGTTGCAGCTCTGTTTTCAGAACTGGCTGCTGAGTGCTGAAGGTCTAGGCCTTAACTTACAACCTTGAGGCTTCGTGTGATTTTTGACGTAGGTCTCTGTACTCCTCAGCAAGTCAGTCTTGGAGCCCCTTCCTCTACTCAGTGACAGAAGACGGCCTCAGACCATCCAGCAAGTCCTTTGTGAATAAACCTTGAGCTTCTGCTATGGGAGTCAATAGCAGGGAAGATGATTTCCATGGAATGAATTCCTTTTCTTGACAAAATCCTCCTTCAGTTTTCTGGAATCGTTGATTATGAAGACTCTTCACTTAAGAGTACTGAGCCTGTAAGAATTCTCTCACCCAACCTGCTATGTGTTGTTGAACTATTGCTTACGCCCTCTCTGAGTTACTTTTCTTCTGGAAAATGAGAAAATTGGTTTCTATTACCTTGGAAATAACTTTCAATTCCAGTGTTCCACAAGCCTAAATTTTGCTTCAATTCTAGGCTGTTTTATATTAGCGTAGCTACCGGATCCCCGTGGGACAGTACTGTTACATTGGCAGGGCAGAGAGGCGCTTTCCCGCTGATTCCTCCCCAGCCCTCTGGGTTTCATCTTGATGAGGTCTGCCTAAGTTGCTGGCCTCAAGCCCACCATCCTCCTGTAAGAAGGTGTTCATGAACCAGGGCCATCCCTCTGTCCCCAGTCTCCTGCTTTTTTGTGCCCTCCTCCCTCTTCTCTCCACATGGCACCCACACACTGTTCACTCTGAGGTGCATCCGTTCAAGGGTCCTGCACAGGCAAGGCTGATGCCAGGGATAAAACTAGTGTCCCAGGTTTCTCATGTTCGAATCCACACCGCAGCCTGGTCTTAGCCAGCACCTGGTGCAGGAGAAGCACAGTGCACAGGACTCTGCCACTCGGGGAGCGCTCTTTCCTTCTCATTTCTCTTTGATGATCCTTTGAAGCAAGGACACAAATGATATTTTCTTTTCTTCCTCTCCTTAATTAACTACTCTGATTACCAGTAAAACATTCTGCTTGCATCTTCCCATTTTAGATTTTTATATCTTTGGAAAGACACACGTGTGAATGGCAAGTGTCCTGAGCTTCGTCCTCTGTTTTCAATGACTTTTTCTTAGATTGTGTACTTGAGAGATCTCAGGGGAAGATACTTTTTACCTCTGTTTTTACTTTTGTCAAAAGCAGCTTCTCCAAAACCGTTCTTAATAATAAAGAGCTTTTGTTAAGCATGTCTCTGCCCTGGGTCCCACTGTGAGGCAGGTCATGTTTCCATGCTGCTTCACAGAGGAGGAAACTGAGGCACGTAGCAGTCGAGGCTTTCTCCAGGGTGGGCAGTGACTGATGTGGCCAGCCCACTCCCTAGTGCGGGAAGGCCTTGTGAGCACATCCCATTGAGGAGGTTGGTCACTTACCACAACCCCACAGGTTTAAATGGCAGAGCCAGGCTCACAGGGACAGTGGCCTCAGAGGCCATTCACACAGTCACTGGCTGACCACGTCCCAGGCCTCGCTGTACTCCCTTCATTCACAGGCCACGCAGAAAGCAAAAGCAAAAGGCTTGCCATGCACCTTCGGGAGCCAAAAACGTGTTAGGAGTCCAGTCATGGAAATACATCAAAAGTACCAAAGAGAGCATAAGCAATAGTTCAACAACACATAGCAGGTTGGGTGAGAGAATTCTTACAGGGGGAATTGTTAGAAATACTATAAAATCTGAATTATTAAATATACAAATGAGATGAAACCAACTTAAATGTGTAAAAATATTTAATTACAGTCTGTTTTACAAAGTAGTACCTTTCTACCTTCAAGGAAACACACATAGTAACTACCCTTGCAAAGTATTTGCAAGATAAGAGGGCCATGGGGACTCACTTTAATAAACAGACTTATGTAAATAACTATTAATTATTAATAAGTAGGTTTTTATGGGAAAAGAACTGAAATCAGTTTTATCTTCATAGCCCTTTTATTTCTTAAGGACAAAGATTCTATTTTGTTTTTTGTGTTCTCTTAGAAAAACATCTCTCACACTGAGCATCTATAGATACTCTGCATATTTGACATTGATTGCAAAGAGGAGCAAGGACCTGGCCGTTGTTTTGCTACAAATAAATAGTGTTACCTCAGGCGAGTCACAACAATTCTGAGACTAGATATCACTCACTTGTACAGTAGCAACTGAGTGTTTGTGCAGGTCCTCCATGTGGAGCCGCGCAGGTTGCACACTGACATAGCCTAGTGTTGTGCCTTCATTTTACAGTGTCTGTCTTAGGAAGCAGAGGACCCACAAGTAGGTAAGTCTGATCAACTGTTTACTTCTCAATTTAATAAAAGGTGTTTTTCCGGAAGGATCTCAACATTTTTTCTTTGAAATAAATTAAAAGCCATCTGTAATCTTCTTTTTCCATTCCTTTCTCATAAATTCAGCAAAAACAAAATTATATTCAGTTGAAATGAATGCAGTTCCAAAGTAGTGAATTCTACAGTAATAATATTGAAGCCATTTTGGTCTAGAGGAGCAAGGTACAGATATTACAAGTTGTCCCTTTTGCGGGCCCTCTTGTGGGCCCCTGGCCTGCCTGACCCAGAGTTTCTGGCTCCACTCTTGTAAATCTGGATCCCTGTTTGTCTCCCTACCTTCCACAGGGGAGGGGCAGGGGTGCCTGTTTCCTGGGTTATGAGCTGGGGTCCGAAGGTCACCTTGGTGCAGAGGTGGATGCCGTTCTTTTTTGGACTCAACTGTGTCTGTGCTATGGCTCTCCTTGGTATTACTCATTTCTTTTTCTTTTCTTTTTTTTTTTTGGTGGGGGTAATGGATAATAATACACTTCGGGATTATAGCTTCTTGTTCCCTTAGCCCTGTTTTATGTTTAAATTGACAGAAGCCAAAGGATTAATCCATTTTCTATATGGTTTTGTTTTATTGAAGGAATATTCTAAACCTGTGTTAATAATAGTAGAATAAAACAAATGGAATTAGATCACTTAATTGAAAAAGGAAGGTTGATGTAAGCAAGTCTTCTTTTGATGTTCACATTTAGCTTAAGTGACAAGATTTAAGTGTGAATTTTTCTTAGACTGATAATCATCATGATTTTATCAAAACCTGTGAATTTTTTAAAAAGTCAAAAAAATTACAATGAAAATCAACTCAAAATAGGAAAAAAAAAAAAAGAAGAAGAAGAAAGGGAGGGGGGAAGCTGGGCATTGCTGTGCCCCCTGTAATCCCAGCTGCTTACAAGGCTGAAGCATAAGGATCGTGAATCCAAGACCAGCCTGTACAGCTCATGGAGACCCCATCTCTAGGAAAGGGAAAAAAAGAAAAAAGAGTTAGTTTGACTTCGGTAAAGCTAATTATTCTACCTTGATAATTAACATCAGCAGCACACACAGGACAGTGT